CCCCGCCCAGGCACGCCCCTCCCGCCAGGCCACGCCCCTGCCCGCCCGGCCACGCCCACTGCCTCATCTTCCTCAGTGTCTAGCGAGTGCCCCTTGGAGACGGGGAGTCTAACCACGTGCTCTTTTGTCTCCTGACCCGTCCAGAAACGGCAAGGGGGGTTGCAAGTTCGCTTGGCAAGCAGGAGGCCCCGGCTTCGGAGACTCGGTAATGAATTAATTAAAGTTAGACGTGGTCAGGGCTGGCTGGACATGTGCCTCCTGCCTACACACCGTGTTTCTTCTGCATCAGAAAAAAAAAAATGACATGATATAAACTAAAGCAGAAAGGAATCTTACCAACAGTTCGGATGAAGGCACAGGTGGATTTTGAGGCAAAATCAAAGCCTTACCTCGGTTCCCTGGAAACCACGGATAAAAGGCCGTGCTTCCCGGTTCCTAGGCTACCTGGGAGTTACCATCTCACACCACCTGGCGGGCAGCCAGCCCGAGGAGTCCGCAGGGAGCACCCAGCTGGTTTGCAGAAGGCTGGCAGGTGTACAGCAAGCCACAGGCTTCAGATCGTTTTTCCAGCTTTTATTTATCTTTCATCCTACCTCTCCTTTCACCTACAATCTGTGTTCCAGTCCCAAATCTTTACACTATTATTCCTGCTTGACGTTAAGCCTTTTCCAGAAGGATTTAATTAGATATTTGTGGGGGGGGTGGGGGGGAGGGGAGGGGTCCTCTGCGTGTGTTCCTTGAGTTTGAATTCAGGATCACTGAGGAGGCTGGTGGGTGAAGATTCAATACCAGCTAAGGCCAAAAAGTCTCTGAAACTCTTTATCTCCAATTAACCAGAAGAATGGGAGGCTGAAGAAACTGCTGAAGTCCTATAGGGCCAGCCGAGCAAGCATGCATACATCTGAGTTCAAACCTCAGTACTGGTTTGAAAAACAAGTCATGCGTGAGCCAAGTTCCAGAGGATTGCGAGCTGTAAGATGCTGACTCAACCAAAGTAGAAAAGGAAGCTGGACATACAGGCGAGATGCCACACTGGCAGTGCTCTGCTAGTATTAAGGTCCAGCAAACATAACGGGGTGAATTTTACTTGTGGGTCGCATACTCCCATTGGGCAAAGCGGGACCCCATCCTCAGTGGAAAATTACACAACCCAGAGCAAACAAACCTTCCTGATCTCTTAGACCTCCTCCCATCACCACCTCCCCTCCAACCCACCTCTTCGGCCTTGAGTTCTTGGCTTTCCCTTAGTGTCCACCCTGCATCCTTCCCACTGCACACAGGACACAGGAGATGGGATCTCATTCAAACCACTTGGGGTCTACAATTCCATGAATCCATCGGTTCCATTTTACAAATGATGACTCTGTTCTCCCAAGTTTTCCCAGGCCCTGGGATCCATAGACTCAGTCCAGAAAGAAAAACAAACTCCTGCTTGCCTCTTTGCTATTGTCATTTCTGCTTTGCCAATGTCACTTGGAGCGTTCAAGCATCTGGGATCTCCGACTTCTACTTGTCCAGACACTGTCAGTGTAGCTTGTACTGCACACGAGAGCATGCTAAGACACATTGACAGGATGGGGGTGAAGTGGTCAGCCCTGGTGCCTAGGCTAGACTATTGGGGGCCAGTGGAATCTTGTGTGAGGAGGCCCACTGGGAGGTCTTAAGTCATTGGTTGCTCACTCTCCAAGGGGATTGTGG